AATGGAATCCTGTACGAGAGATTGAATTCTTATTCGAATAAAATTTTGTTTGAGTGAATTCTTATTCGAATGAAATCTTGTTCGAGAGAGTGAATTCCTATTCGAATGAATTCCTATTCGAAAAAAAATTCTTATTTGATTGAATTCTCATTCGAATGAAATCTTATTCGAGAATGAATTCGTATTCGAATGAATTCTTATTCGAATGAATTCGTATTCGAATGAATTCCTACTTAAATAAATTCTTATTCGAACGACTTCCAATTCGACTAAAATCATACTCTTGCGAATTCTTGTTTAAATTAAGATCTCATTCGTCTCAATTGTTCTCTAGATAAAAACTCCAACAAATTTCTCGAATAAAACTCCATTATAATGATAAAATCCACTGAACGGTGGCGCACGCAGAGACAAACGATCAAAGCTCCCCCGAAAAACACCTAATAAATTACCACAAAACAATAGAACAAAAATCATATATCGACCAACCTGGTGGCTATCAAAGGGCAAGTGATGCTGGGCGAGGCCCAAGCCTCGGGGCTCCAAGGGGCGCACTCGTAGAGCCTAAGTTCCCTGCCGGAAACCGCGCCGAAGACGCTGCGCCATCCGCCGGTGCATCCGCCGCCGAGCCCGAATCCGCTGCCGGCTCCTCTGGAAGTGCTCGCGCTGCTCCCTGCGCCGTCCTCGCTGCTCTCGCTACTGGCTCGGCCGTTCTGGAACGGAAGAGAAAATCGCGGGGCCATGTAGCCCGTAAATCTTCGTTAAGCCAGATCGTAGCCGGAAATCGCGATCCGGCACGATTCCCGCGTCACGGAAATGTTTCTTTCGAGGACAACGCCGCCGAGCATGCGATCTCTCTCTCTCTCTCTCTCTTTGTCTGTCTATGTGCGTGTACGCGGCAACGGTTCCACGGTCGGTAGAAACGGCTCGCGTGGGCGACGAAATTATGCCTGACACCGCGGACAAGCGCGATAACACGCGCGCCGCCCGGAATTCGCGATTCCGCGGGCCCGCGAAAGTGTGAATGAAAACTGCGGCGACCGCATTCCGGCCCCTGGGACAGCGTTCTGCGGCCGGACGCCGCGGGACAACGGGACAGGGACCGGGGAGGGGGTTGGGGAGAGAATGGGCGACGCCGGGAATGCGGAAAATGCTGGTCATCCAAGGTCATTACACGGCCATTCTCCGCTCCGCGGCGGCCATTTGAAAGAAGATAAAGGGGACCGCCTTGTAAGGCGAGCGAAGAATGGTTTTCCATAAGTTTCGGGTCGTATTAACATTCCCCGGCCTCGCCGCGTTCGCGTCAGGATTTACGTCGTCGTTAAAGGTCCTGTCTACGAGCGAGCGAGCGCGCGAGCTAGTTCAGGCGCGAAATAATTGGTTCATGAAGGCGTGCTTAATGAGGACGACGCTTCCGGTCGGGGACCGATGTGTGCCGCGGGCAAACATCGCCGGATTTACGTCGTTCGATCAGTATTGTTCAAGTACGGATCACATTTGCGTACTTCGGCCGGCATTGTTCCAACGGAGGACCCCATTCACGTGCTCCGATTACCGTTGTTCCGACAGAGGAGAGCGCATATTCGCGTTCTACGATTAGCGTTGTCCCGACCGAGGAGATACTCCTGTACTATGGTCAATGATTCGCGTGTGCGCGGACGCTCGGTGGTCGACGGATAAAAACGCGCGTTATAGGAGAAGTTGGTTTTTTTTAGGATTTTTATGGTATTGACTTTGCGACTTAGCTGCGAACAGAATTGTCGAATTTGTTTGGAAGACGCTTCGGCTTGTGGCGCGGCCGAAATGATTGGAAAATTATGATAAAATGTTATGGTTAAATATAGTAAAGTGTATTGTAGTGAAGTATATAATATAGCAAAGTATATCGTATACAGGATGTTAGGAAAATCGTGGTATAATCTGCAAGGGGATGATTCTATACGCAAAAATTGTCGAATTTCATTGGAAGACGCTTCGGCTTGTCGCACGTCCGAACTTCTTGGAAAATTATGATAAAATGTTATGTTTAAATATAATAGAGTGTATTATAGTAAAGTATATATATATACAGGGTGTTCAGAAAATCGTGGTATAATCTGCAAGGGGATGATTCTGCATGCAAATATTGTCGAATTACTTTGGAAGACGCTTTGGCTTGTCGCACGTCCGAACTTCTTGGAAAATTATGATAAAATGTTATGGCAAAATATAGTAAAGTGCATTATAGTGAAGTATATAATATAGTACAATGTATGTATACAGGGTGTTGGAAAAATCGTGGTATAGCCTGCAAGGGGATGATTCTACATGCAAAAATTATCGAATTTCTTTGGAAGACGCTTCGGCTTATCACATGTCCGAAATTCTTGGAAAATTATGATAAAATGTTATGGTAAAATATAGTAAAGTGCATTATAGTGAAGTATATAATATAGCAAAGTATATCGTATACAGGATGTTAGGAAAATCGTGGTATAATCTGCAAGGGGATGATTCTACATGCAAAGATTATCGAATTTCTCTGGAAGACGCTTCGGCTTGTCGCACGTCCGAACTTCTTGGAAAATTATGATAAAATGTTATGGTAGAATATAGTGAAGTATATAATACAGTACAGTGTATATATACAGGATGTTCGGAAAATCGTGGTACATCCGGCAAGGGGACGGTCCTAAGAATTTCTCGTATTATATATAGAGAAGAAACGTTCAACTATAATTCAAAGTTTTATCATTCTTTAACCAAGAGAGAGAGAGAGAGAGAGAGAGGGAGAGAACGTTTTATATCCTCCTCGGAACTTCACTGAGCCAACTTTGACCCGGCCACCCGAAACTAATCGCGTTCGAAATCTCTGCAACGGGTCCGAAACGTCCTAACAGCGCGACGGTTCGATCAGTTTAGTCAGGATCGGGGTCAGCGAACATCGAAAATCCGACGCAGCGATTGCGAAGACTATACTGCGAGGGTCGAGGATGCGAGGAGAAGGTGGGAAGAAGGCTCGCGAGACGGGCGAGGGAGCTTTCCATTGTTATCGACGTGGAAAACAGTAGACGCATCGGCAGCTTCTCCCGTCCCCGTCGCATTCCAGACATGCGTCGAGCGCAGGCAAGAACGCCTCCTTGGAACCGGATGTTGGATAAAAGGAGAGACAGAGGAAGAGAGAGAGAGAGAGAGTGAGAGAGTGAGAGGAAGAGAGAGGGGGAAAGGGTGAGAGCGTCGCGAGAGAAAGAGGGGGCGCAGAAAACTGCGGGAAGAAGCGACGGAGCCACGAGAAATGTAGCCTCATAAGTGTCAGCCGCATTTTCCCGTGGCACTTACGGGGAGACAATATCGAGCGAGGGTCCGGCTTCTCCCCGGATACGGGGCCGTTCCTGTAACTGTGTGCCAGAACGGCATCGGCGCGGCGCGGCGGCGTTCGTGGTTTTCGCTACGGGCGGAATGCGCGGCCGCTCCGAGGACACAATGCCCTCCATCCGGCGGCCGTCCACGCCCCTCCGCGCCGCCGGACCCCGCAGGGATGATACATCGGGGATTAATTGAACTGTCGAATATTGACATTCCGTTGAAAACCGTGCGTGTTTACGTCGTGATGGTTACATCACGTTCCGTGTCCGACGACCGCCCTCCTGCCGTCCGCGCCCTCCCGGACGCCACCTCCTCCCGCCTTCTCTGAACAACTTTCCAACCCTTTCGATCTTTCAACCACCGCTCTCTCCATTATTCCTGTTGCCTCGCGATTCCCCGATCCTATACGCCGAGCTGCCTTTCGATCATTCGCTGCGGCATATTCACGGTTTTATCGCGCGCTTCGAAATGTCGTAAATTCGCCTCCAATCGACGCTCGGATTTGCCAGGAAAATGGACAATTTGGGAGGAGGAGAGACGATTGTGTTCGAGCCTTGCGGCGCGATTTTAGGATTATAGAAGGATTATAAAGGGTTATAGAAACGATTAGGATTATAGAAACGAGGCGCGCGGCTCGAATAATTGGGTTTGCTTCTTTTCAGGTTGTCCAGTTTTGTTTGCAAGCTGAAGGGAAATTGGGGAGAATTTACTGTACCGGGTGTCCTGGGAGGTTTGCGACCGAAACTATGCTATGCGTGTACATTATACATATGTATGAGTGATACCACCTGTATATTTAATAGATAAAGTTTTATAATACAAAGTAGAACTACTAACATATTGAACAGGAAGATCGCAATTATGCTCTTTTTACAATTTGAACACGTGAATATTCCATTTTCTAATATATTGTCGTTAAATATTGTTTCATAGGAGCCCACGTACCACTCTGTACAGTAGCATGGTAATACTATTGCAATTGTTTCATTTAATTTTTTCTAATTTTTACTAATTCTTCAAACTCAAGACATTGCCTCGAAAAATTCACAGCATATCGAAGTCATTTAATTAACGAAACTGAAACTAGAAAGCAAAACTTTACCATAGGAAATGTAGTAATATAATAATACTAGTAACATTTAATTTGTTCAACGTATCGTCTCGAAAAATTCACACAAAATCGAAGTCATTTAATCAACGAAACCGAATTTAGAAAGCGAAAGTTAGGAAATACAGTAATGTCTCCCTAACTGACGCTCAGATCGTGCAGAAAAATGGACAATTTGGGAAGAGGAGATACGATTATTCGAGCCTTGCGGCTCGTTTTTATAATCGTTCAAAATCGGTAACTATAAAAACGAGTCGCAAGGCTCGAGTAATCGTATCTCCTCCTCCCAAATTGTCTATTTCTGTGGACAATCCGAGCGTCAATTAGAGAGACATTACTGTAGTAGGAAATGTAGTAATATAATAATCCTAGTAACATTCAATTCGTTCAACGCATTACGATAAAAACGAACGTCAAAAATCGGTTGAAAATTGGTTAAAAATTAGCGTCACCCATAGGTGGCTCGCGCGGCGCCGAACGCGTCGAAAGGCGCGCGAACCCTTTTGCGGGCCGCCTCTGTTCGGTCGCGAAAGAAAAGAGCACAGTAACCGAAAACGCGAGAGATCGCATTTCATCGATTGTTCCGTTCCGGCCGATAAAACGACGGCGCCGATCGCAGAAAAGGCGAAACGGCGCGACGGCCCGGCAAAAAATTCCGGGGTTCGATCGACTGGCCGCGTTATTATGGCGCGTCCTGCGACCATTTTCGGGCGGACATCGCGTTCCGATACGTTCGATTGCGGCCGGCCCGCTCGGCCGGACTGTTTAATCACCGTTTTCGAGTCTGCGGTCGGCGCGCGTTTCGGTTTTTATATTTCGGCGGGACGTTCTTCCATTAGCCGGCGCAAAGGCACGGGACACAAAGGGCCGGCAGGGCGAGCGAAGGACGCGCGCGCGTGTCCCTCGCCGAGAAAAATCGACGGGCCGTCGAAACAGCGGCAATTAGTCGCGTCGACGTCCAATAAACCGTCGGGAGAACCGTTTCGGCGGGATCCGCGGCTCGTTTCTCTGCCCATTGTTCCCGCTTTGTGCCGGCGCGCGGCGAACGATCGGGGCCGATTCCTTTGATCTGCTTCGGAAATAAAGGACGCCGCGGCCCCGGCGAGCACCGATCCAACGACACCGGAAATATGACGGCGGAATCCTTCGGGCGAAGCCTCGCGGACACGCCGTTCTCTTGGCCCGCCAGATTCCCAGACGATAATTGGCCGCGTTTCGCCGGCGTTGGTCGACCGGGAAACCCGTGAACCGCCGGGATGA